GACAGAGAGAGAGAGAGAGAGAGAGAGAGAGAGAGAGAGAGAATCCCAAGCAGGCTCCACACTGTCAGCTCAGAGCCTGACACGGGGCTCAAACCCATGAACCGTGAGATCATGACCTGAGCCGAAATCAAGAGTCAGACGCTCAACCGACTGAGCCACCCACGCGCCCCACCATTTTTACCCAGGTCTTATCGCATGCGGACCCAACACTGGAGTAGCAGTACCAGCTCTCAAGATTGAGTCCTTCCTAAAAGTCCTTCCGAATCAATGTTGTTCTTGCCACATTTAAGGGAAGGACCTGAGCCCACGTCCACGGGTGGCTTGGACACACGGCCTGCTGGTCACCGTTAACGGACACACCTACAGCTGTGACCACACACGGACAACGGAGCTGCAGCCAGCCCAGGACTCGGAGCCCTCCGTCTCCCTCCCGAGCCCCTCAACACGCACCTGGGTTCCGCCGGGGGCGGTGGAGTGCCTACCAGCCCCACGTCCGCCTCGAAGACCTTCCGGAAGAGGCGCGCAGCCGCAGTTAAGGAAACCAAGACCCTTCACGGCCACGCACGCCTCACGGTCAGCCCTGCGCCGCGGGGACCGCCCAAGCCCCCCACCCCTGTGCTCAGAACGAGCCCAGCCGGCAGGCCCGGGGGAGGGCGCGGCCAGCACTGCGCGTCTCTGTGTGTCACAGACTCAGGCGCTTAGCCAGTTTCCGGCGTGCCGTCTTCGCTTCCTCCCGAGCCCCGTGCACCAAAACTGAAAACCTCCGGGGATCCTGACGCTGTGAGTCACTACGGTACTCCCCAGAGACCCTTGGTAAAGGGAAGCCTCGTCTGTCCAGACGGAGACTTCGAGCTAGGCTTTACGGCAGAAAAAGCCCCGCTTGGCCTAGCAAGAGCTTCTTCGAAGGAACCAGGGTCCATCTGTGCGATCTGACGACGAGCAGCACCCGTACGACCGCTACCGACTGTCCCTGCCTGGGGGGCCGCGGGCACGGGAGTCCAGGGCTCTGCGGCCTGAGGCAGGCGGCTCCTGCCGGCTCCCCACACCGTGAGCTCTGGACCGGCTCCAGGCGCCGAGCGCCCGTGCTCTGTGCTTACCGGAGAAGGGGGCGGTCCGCAGAGGTATTTTGATGGGGGCCAACGTCAGGAAGTGGCAGGGCTGCGTGCTGGGGGGGGACGGGCCCCCAAGTCCCTCGGGCTCCACAGACAGCACGGCGGCGGCGGCGATGGCAATGGCGGGGCTGCTGCCGACGGGCTTGAGGCTGTCGGGACCACCACCTGCAGAAGAGGGACAGGGAGGTCAGCCCGGGGGTGCCCGGTGGCCGCCAGAGAGAGGCACCGCCTCATCGGGCCACACTCGAGCGCCCAGAGAACACGAGCAGCCCGCACCCCGTTCTCGGAAGCCGATACCCCAGAAACACATGGGATGGTTCCCGACCTGTCACAACGCAACGTCGACTGGGCACAGAGCACACGCACGCTGCCGTGCGACGTTCAGAGGCACAAAGCCCAGTCACCAGGGGACGTGCGTGCCCTGGAGAGAAGTGGCTTTGCTGCGGTGCACGCGCGTGGCACGCACAACCGGGGCTCCTGGCGACAAGGTCACAGTGACTCGGAGCCGCGAGAGGGCCCGGGAGGGGCACGGAAAGGCGGGCGGCGGGCCCGGAGCGGGACGCAGCTGTGGGTCGGCGCGGGGAGGCTCAGCTGCTCCCCGAGGCTGCCACCTGCGCGGCCTCTGCGGCGGAGAAACTCGATACCCCCGTCAGCCTGGATGGCTCCTCGTGAGGGGTCGGGCCCCAAACCTGGAATTCAGGCTGTCTGTTGTCTGTCCTGACGTAACTGGGAACCTGTGACAGTTTGCTTCTGTCTGTGCCTTTCCTGTAAAGTTTTATTTATTTTTATTTTTACATTTACATCCAAGTTAGTTAGCGTCTCGTGCAATAATGGTTTCAGGAGGAGATTCCAGCGATTCCTCCCCTACACACAACACCCAGTGCTCATCACAACAAGTGTCCTCCCTGGTGCCGCTTCCCCCACGTAGCCCATCCCCCCACCCACCACCCTCCAGCAACCCTGTTTGTTCTCTGTATTTAAGAGTCTCTTTGTTTTGTCCCCCTCCCTGTTTTTATGTTATTTTTACTTCCCTTCCCCTATGCTCATCTGTTTTCTTTCTGTAAAGTCTTTTGGTCCCTAAAATAATTGTGGTTTCTAAGAAATATTCTGCAGCTACCAGCTTACATTGATGGTTCCAGTTCTGGAAAGCAGTTTGGAAACATGTTTTTAAAATGTTAATACAGATCACAACTTTTGATCTAATGTTTCCCTTCCTATAACCCGCCCACATGTCCAACGCCTTCAGATAAAGGTTTGTAGTGAGAAATTAGAAATACCAGCAAAGGGCAGGTGGTTGTATAAACAACGGTGCATCCACTCAGTGAGACACTGAACGGCCGGTAGAATCACACAAGGAGAAACACTCAGTGCCACAGGGGACGACCCACAACATGCTCAGTAAATAAAGCAAATTACAAAATCATTTCTATTTCTACACCACTCAGTCAACAAATCTTTATTTCGTTGACTAGATGCCAAGCATATTCTAGCTCTTAGGGACGGAGCAGTGAACCAAACAGATAGAAGACCTGCCCTCAGGGACCACACCTCCCAGGTAGGGACGATACAAGGAATACGCTTGCCTTGTTTATTTGCTTTGTGTTACAGGTTGATGGGCACAATGCCGAAAAGCAAAGCAGGGAGAAAGGATTGGGAATTGGTAGGTGGGTTTCATCTTCACACGGCGTTGTCAGGAAGGTCTGCCCTGGGACAGGAACCCATAGGTGACAGCCTGCAGGAGGCAAGAGGGGACAAGCAGGCCAGGGAGAGGTGAGGATGTGCAAAGGCCCTGAGGCAGGCGCCTAGCCATTGTGTTCCAGAAGCCGCAAGGTGATCAGGGAGGTGCAGCGGAGGGGCAGAGATGAGAAAATGTGAGTGGGGATGGGGTGTGGGGGTCGGAGCGTCAATGACGGGAGGGTATGATGCGGAGTGGGGGGCATGCGCTGACTTCCATTTTAATGCATCGTCCCGGGTGCTTTGTTGGCAACAGACAGAAGAGGGCAAGCTGGGTTCTGGCTGCCCTCTGCCAGGCCCTCCTGAGTCTGTCTTCGTTTCTGTCTTTCCGTATTTTTCACATTCCCTTTGACGGGCATATACAAGTTTTACAAATTTAATTTTTATAGAGTAGTTTCAAGTTTACGGAAAACTTGAGCAGCAAGTACGTGGAGTTCACACACATCCCACTGCACCCAGCTTCCCTATCACCCCGTCTTCTGCTAGCTGCTGCCACTGAGGAGCCAACACTGATACACTGTTATGAAGGAAAGCCCCTGGTTTAGAGCAGGGTTCACTGTTTGTGCTGCACACGTGCGAGTCATAACGTCATGTGCTCACCTCCACCCTGTCGCACAGAAGGGTCTCACTGTCCTAAAATCCTGTGCTCTGCCTGTTCATCCCTCCTCCCACCCCACCCCTCAAGACCACAGATCATCTTCCTGTCTGTGTACTTTTGCCTTTTCCAGAATGTCTTATATTTGGAACCACACGTTATGTAGCCTTTTTAGACTGGCTTTGTCCACATCTCGACGTATCTTTGACGTCTGTCTTTTCATGGCCAAGATAGCTCCTTTCCTCTTATCACTGGACCACATTCCACTGTTTGGAAGGACCACAGGTTACTTATCCATCACCTGCTGAAGGAAATCTTGGTGGCTTCCAAGTGTTCACAATTATGAATAAAACAGCTATAAACGTGTGAGAACGCGAGTTCTCTATTTGGGCAAATACCAAGGAGTGCGCCCGCTGGACCGTGCGGTATGACAACATGTAGCTCTGTAAGAAACCGCCAGACGGTCTCTCAAAGTGGCTGCACCATTTTGCATCCCCAGCAGCGGCGAACAAGAGCTCCTATCGCTGCTCATGCTCGCGGGCCTTTGCTGTCAGTGTTCTTCTGGATCTTGGCCGTTCTGACAAGGGTGTTGTGGTATGTCCTCATTGCCATGTATGGAGTTACAGAAAAAAAACCAAAAAACCACTGTCCTGAATATATGATCTTACTTGATAATAAAAGCCCATTATAGAAACTTTAGAAGATGGAGTGAATAAGCGTATCAAAATGTCCCCGCGGCCTCCCCAGCTGAGCACCACTGGTCTTCTGTTTTGCAGGAATCAGCAGCTTCCTGGCCACGTGGTCCGGCCACCGTCACAGCGCAAGCACAGCTTTGTCACGAGCTTTACAAAATGAACACTTCCCCTACCATCAAATGGCTCACCCACGTCCAATTAGTAATCGGGGTCTTGTCTTCCAGGTACTAGGCCTGACACTCCAATTTGCCGTATTCACTACTATCCCCCGTCCTAACAGACATTGCCTCCTGTAAAGAAACATGACATAAACGACGGTTTGCCAAAAAAGTTCATTTCTGCATACATTGTTCCAGGACAGATGTTCAGGGTCAAAACAGTGTATTTTTGGGTGCATGTATCACTTTAATGAGGTAGTCGACTTTTGTGGAAGTCGACACACCGCGGAGGCCTCTGCAAATGTTTCTTATTAAGTGTGGCTTCTCTCCCTCGGGATCTATACGTTGAGATGCTCTCACCAGAGGTGTTTAACCACCTATTTGCGCTGCTCAGAGACAGACCTGCCGGTGTAACTCAGCACCAAGTTCCATGGCCTCGGGGACGTGTTGCCTGGCAAATCTGTCTAATAAACTCAACCTGTTCTTTACAATGAGGATGACCTCTTAGCAATAAATGGCAAAGCAACTGCTGATGTTCTCAAAGAAGCAGAGGTTAAACGCAAGAGCGTTTTGTAGATGAAAGCGTGGGGACGTTTATATTATTGTGTGACTTTGTTGTCAGGAATAATACGTCGCTTCCTGATTTCAATCTATACTATGAAGCTCTACTCACAAAAACAGTATGGTACCAGCATAAAAGCAGACAAATCGGCCAATGGAACAGAACCAAGAGCCCAGAAACAAACCCAAACATAAATGGTCGACTAACATTTCACAAGGGAGCCAAGAACACTCAGTGGAGAAAAGATGGTCTCTTTAGTAAGCGGTGCTGGAATAACTGGAGAAATGAACCTGGACCCCTATCTTTAAAAAATTTTTTTGATGTTTATTTATTTTTGAAAGAGAAAGAGACAGACAGTGGGGAAGGGACAGAGAGAGGGAGACACAGAATCCGAAGCAGATTCCAGGCTCTGAGCTGTCAGCACAGAGCCCCATGTGGGGCTCGAACCCACAAACTGCGAGATCATGACCTGAGCCGACATCAGACGCTCAACTGACTGAGCCACCCAGGCACCTCTAAATTGTTTTTAATGTCTATTTATTTTTGAGAGAGGAAGAGAGAGAGAGACAGAGTTCAATGGGGGGAGGGGCAGAGAGAGAGAGGGAGACACAGAATCTGAAGCAGCTCCAGGCTCCGAGCTGTCAGCACAGAGCCCGATGTGGGGCTTGAACCCACAAACCACGAGATCATGACCTAAACTTCACCAACGGAGCTACCCAGGCACCCTGGAACTGGACCCATATCTTACACCACTCACAGAAATTAACTCCAAGTGGATTAAAGACAGAAACATAAGGCCTGAAACCATGAACCTAGAAGAAAGCAGATGTTTTGGAAATCGTACCTAAAGGTCAATCAATGTGAACAAAACCAGCAAGCGGGACCATGTCAAACAGCAAGACAAATCATCAACAAGGTGAAAGGACAACCTGCAGAATGGGAAAAACAGCCATTTGCAAGCCGTGTATCTGATAAGGGGCTTATATCCAAAATATATATTAAAAGAAACATAGCTCCTACCGCTCAACGGCAAACGAATAAAAATCCCAAATGATGCAATTTAAAAATGGCAAAGGATCCCGATGGAAATTTCTCCAAAGAAGATACATGAAAGGCCAACAGGTATGTAGTGAGGGGCCCCACACCACTCATCACCAGGGAAATGCAAACCTGAACGACAATGAGGCATCGCCCGCGCCTGTTAGAACGGTCATCAACCCCAGATAAGATGGCAGGTGCCGGCGAGGATGTGGAGAAAAGGGAGCCCTCCTGCGCTGCTGGTGGGCATGTAAGCTGGTGCGGCCACTGAGGAAAACAGTGTGGAAGGCCCACCAAACACTTACACATAGAACTACCCTGAGATCCAGCAACCCCAATTCGGGGAATTATCCCCAAAGGTAGCGAAAACGCTAACTCACGGATCTATGTGCACTCAAACCCCGACTCACAACAGCCAAGACACGGAGGCCACCCAAGTGTCTGTCGATGGATGAATGGATGAAAAAAATCGTACATAATAGACTGTTAGTCATAAAAAAAAAGAGGAAATGTTATCATTTGTGACAACATGGATAGACTCTGAAGGCATTATTCTAAGTGAGATCGTTCAGAGAAAGACACGTGCCACGTGATTTCACCTATATGTGGAATCTTAAAAACTACAAAAATAAAAACAAAAAACCAAACTCATAGAAAGAGATCAGTCCTGTGGCTAAAGAGGCAGGGGGTGGGGGAGGGGGAAGTGGAGGGAGGTGTCAAAATGTAAAAGTTCCAGTTATACTATAAACACGTGCTGGGGACCTCACGGACAGCGTGGCGACCGTGGCTGACACCGATGTACGATTTATAGGAATGTGGTTAAAAGAGTAAATCCTGAGTTCTCATCATACGGAAAAAAAAAACGTTTTCTTTCTTTCTTTTCTTTGTGTTGCCTCTATATGAGCAGGTGGGTGTTAGCGGAGGCTATCGTGGTGACCATTTTACAACAGATGTAAATCACGCCAATGTGCTGTACGCCTTAAGCCTATGCAGTATGTCAATTACTTCTCAATAAAACTGAAAAAAATGAGTCCATCACAAAGGAACACTAGTAAGTTAACCTGAGCTGCCTCTTCAAAACACAAAAACAGCTTGGAAAGATATTTTTTAACCTGCTTTGAATTCACTTGGTTACATATGAAAACGCAGCCCTCTCCAGGTCACAAAATCGACTGATTAATATCAGCGAAGTCAGGACGTTAATAACCAACATCGGCAAAATGATGGTCATAATTGGTGGGTGGTAGGAAAGGAGGCCTGGTCTTCCCGCGGCAAGGGTTTGGCCAGGCTCCAGGCGGCGGAGTAACGTGCGAACTCACCGTGTGACACACGAACCAGGTGGCCGGTGGGACGGAGCAGAACGCGCAGCCCACCTCCAGCACGCCGGGAGCGCGCGTGAGCCCGGGAACACATGCGCGTGCGTGGAGGAGCCCGCGCGGGCGGGCCGCGCATGCGCGTGTGTGAAGGAGCATGTGCGCCTGCACGTGTGTGGAGGAGCCCGCGCGAGCGGGCCGCGCATGCGCCTGTGTGGAGGAGCGTGTGTGCGCCTGCGCGTGTGTGGAGCCCTGCGTGCGGGAGGAGCCCAGGCGGGCGGGTGCTGGAGAACGGTTACAGGTGAGCGCGCGGTAACAAAATCCCGCGAGCCCAGCTTCGGGAGGCAGTTGGCCGCTTTGTGTTTTTCCTCTCGGTTTCGTTTCCCGCACCCCTCGGCCGGGCATTTACCAAGCATCTCTACCTGCCAGACTGCGCCCAGCTTGCGGCTGGGAAGACGGCCGGATGCAAACAGATAAGCGCCCGCAGGTGCCTCCTGCCCGTGGACACCGGCCGGCAGGTGCGCGGAGCCAGTGAGAGCCCCGGGACGCCGGCTGCTCCCCCGAGGAATGCCCCTCGAGCCACGTCTTGGAAGATGAGCAGGCACTGGATAAATTGTGTCGACTGATAATAATTATCATAACTTGCTTTCCCCAAAGGACTGCAGAGAATCCCTTAGTTGAGTAAATAAACAGTGAGATAAGAAGTCCAGCCAAAACTGCTAAGCCAGCTAAAAGATAAGCCAGGAATGCTATCCCATAAGGATTACTTATAAAAAAAATCAACGTTTTAAGCAGAACCGTAATTAACCGTGAGCTCTGCTTGAGGACGGGCTGAGGCGAGTGCAGGCCCGCCGCTGGGGGAGCTCCGGGGGCCAGGCCCTTGGCCCCAGGCTGCTGTTTCATCACTGTTCCCACTGTCTACCTCCTTCTCTGACTCCCAACTTGCAAAAGAGCTCTGTTTGCATGTTTTATTCCCAGTAGTCCCTCTAGTACCGCATGAAGGAGAAATCCTCCTGTCTTTGTTTGTGGCCAGAGACAGCGGGGTGGGCGAGGCTGAAGGAACTTCACAAGGGCACCTGAACCCCAGAGCGGGTGTGTCTGACCCGAATCCCCCTGCGGGGCTGGTGCTGGGGCCCCACCTGGCTGGCCATGGGCAGTCTGAGACACGTGGTGGACAGCAGCGGCTGGACGCCTTCCTCCTTTGCTGGCCGGACCCCCCGGGGGCCACACGCACAGGGAGCCCTTGGTCATGGCTGATGCGCTGGCTTACTTAACCCAACACCGGCCTCAGGACCCTGGAGGGCAGGCGGGCTCTCGTCATCAGCTGTGCTCACAGGCAGACTGGCTTTGGACACCCTTCCAGAAGCTTCCTCCCAAACCGGAAGTCAGCCAGCAGCTGCATTTTGCTTTTCTCAGGACTGGACAAGGAAACGAGAAAGGTTGGTGGCCGTGGGAGCCGGGACATGGGAGCCTGACGTGGTCAAGGAGTCTAGAACCTCCCAGTGCAGGTACACGTTCTAGGTACGCACTCGGTTCAGATGGCACTTTCTGTCCTGGTCCCCGGGTCTTACCTCTGCTCCAGGCGTGCTCTTGGCCCACAGGGCCTCAGCTGCATCCTGCAGACCAAAGCAGGGGCAGGCGGTGCTGGAGGGGACGCACCCCTGCTCTGGGCCTCCAGCCACCCTGCAGAGGGATGCGTCACAGAGTCACCAAACACGAAGTTGGGGTTTGAACCGCCGGTGGGTTGCGGAGTAGATAAAGGCTAACCGGTTAGCTTCTGCGTCTTCTCGGAACAGGAGGCAAGCAGCGCACACATCGTGTGTCTGTGAGAGCGCCCGCAGAGGCGAGGGCCCCTAGGTGTCCAGAACACAGAGGGTGCAGAGTAAACAATGGGCGGCTGGCAAGTCCTCGGAGGAGGAAACCTCGCCTGACAAATGCCAGCTGCTGCCTTCTCTGTGCTGAGCCACACATTCCAAAAAATAAACAATCATTAGTTTATTATGTCTATTTAGCAAATGATTTCAGCTCCGGTGGAAATCCTTCAGGCGATATATCTACCAACTGGTAATTATTTCTGCAAAAACGACTGTTCGGTGAGAGCGGTGACTTCAGGCTCCTGGTGTGTGTGCATGGTGCTCACGGAGGCAAGTCCGGGGACTGCAGCGGGCAGAGGGGAAGGACGCAGGGCTCGGCCTCGAGGCTCCAGCTGCCATCGCCCTTCCTGGCCCCTGAGAGCCTGGACACTCAGCTCCCGGGAGTGAGGACATCCTCTTAGCAGGATGATGATGGGCTCTGTGCATCCACATGATAAGCCAGCTTTTCCTGAGGAGCTGAGTCAGAGCTGGGTGGCATTTTGTCTCCTTGTATCAACACTCGGGTGCTATGGTGAATGTGGACCTATAGAGACCCCATCGACATCTCCAGTCTCCCCCCAACATTCTGCCTCGTTATCTTGGGTGAAGCTGGGCAGACTCGGGATCTCGGAGTCAAGCCCACAGCTGTGGGTGCAGAACTTGAAGATCCACGGTGGTGCTCTGAGCCCCACCCCCTGATCGTATGATGAAAGTTGTCCATGGATCTTGGATCCTGGCACTGAAGGGGCCACCAGCCCAGATGAATCCAGCTCCTTCTCACAGCCACGGGGACCCGCTGGGTCTCCTCCCAAGGAGCTAAAGAGCAGAAGGTGTGGCTTTGACACGTGTGTCTCTACCAGGGACACCTGATGATGGTTGTTCAGAACGTGCACTGGATCCCAGTGCATCCATATGAATGAGCACCCCATCCCCCAGTGGACAGAAGCCCGAATTCCTAATCACTGAGTTAACCCCCCGGGAGCAGGAGCATGGAATTAGGTCTCCTAGCCTGGGTGCTGCAGACAGTACAAGACAAGGACAGATGAGCTATTTAATGCTAACAGGGTGGCAAATTCACTTCGCTTTGTGCATCAATTTAGAAATACTAACTTGTTTTATTTTTATGATGTCATGTAACTTGGTACACAATAACGTGAAAATTCATTTTATTAAAACCAGAGATTAATTATACTACCCCAAAGAACAAATTGCCACTAATACTGGGTAATCTAAATGTCCTGATTGTGGCAATAAACTGAGTCAGGGAAGGAAAGGAGAAGAGAGATCAGGGTGGCAATTTGCTTAAGAAACAACGGACCGTCTAATGGTAGCTTCTACTGAACGCCGTGAGCCCAGGCCTCCGCTCTGGGCCAGCACCTCCCACGGCAGCCGCTCTCTGGAACCCCAGTGCCATCACAGGAAGGAGGTGATGATGGCCGGCCAAGCTGAACCCAAGGGCTGGCTCGGCAGAGCGCCTGGCCTGCTCTGGACTCACTTGCCATCAGAACACCCAGGACCCAGGCACCCCTACCACATACACAAATTCCTTGGGGGTGGGGCCGTACCTGTAAGACATGCCCAGGTACTGTGCACGCAGTAGGTGCTTAATGGATGCATGCCAATCAAGGGGCTCCGAGACAGCATTTGTCTCCTGAAGGACTCACTCCATAAGTGGCTTAGCGGGTTTCATGGGTCCATATGGACTTGTGAGTCTACTGCTGAGAGGAGCCCGCCTTTGGGGGGCCGACGGTGCACACTGTCCCTAAAGGCAGTGCGTTTTCCTGTGGAATGCAGTGGCTTTGGTGAAAGATTAACCTTTCGCCTAAAAACAAATGTATTTACATTCCCGACAGGAAGCCTGAGGTTTTGCTGACCTTGAAGCAGGACAAAATCTTATTTGTTTGCACGACAACAAAAGTTGTGTGAAGGGTTCTTTAATGCGTTAAGCAAAACTATGCTGTTTATCATCAGGCAGCTGTTTCAACCCACTTCACGATGCTCAGCGCACACATGATTTACACTCACCTCTTACCTGACTCATAATATCCCCTGGCAGTCATAAAGCACAGGAAATTATTCTCAGCCCGTGTCTCTCTCTTCAGAGACACATTTAGACAGCGATGCCATCAACCAGCTGACGAGTTTTAGGAACCTTCCTGCTTTGCTGCGTCTATCTTCATTATGAAATTAAGATGATTGAACGCCTCATAATGGAGACACCAAATATGCCTTTCCCCTCACCACCTGCCACGGTGGTTTTGTCCCCTGAACTTCCCCAGGTAGATGAATACGGCTGTTCACTTGCAAGACGGCTCAGGAAGGTAGGTGGGGCGTTCACAGATCACGCCAGGGTGACTGTGTCCACACTGACTACTCTCTTCCTCGTGACCCAAGTGCCGTCCCTAAACACAGCCTCTGGAGCAGGGTTCCGTACACATCCCCGATGACACACGGTACCTGAGAATGAACGTTTTAAGACAGAAACTTTCAGAAAAACGTTCTCACCATATGCTGCCGCTGCTGAAAGATGCCGTACGGGATTCATGTTTCCGTTATGGCAAAATATGGTACAACCACATCTGTCCTTGAAGAATCGATACCCCAAGTGAGACGAGAGTATGAGTTTTCAGAATCCAGGCGCAGGTAGAAATAAGGGTAATCACAGTTCTGCTCACACCGAGACTGCAGGGAACGGGTGGATTCGCGGGGCCATTCGCAGAACTTCCGCTCCTGCAGCCCACACGCTGACCGCAAAGGACGAAAGGGACTTGAAATCAGCAGGCTCGTTACAGAGATTGTGAAAGATACGGAGGAGGTTTTAGTCCGCTTTTGAACCCTGGCCCCTGAATCACGAGGACCCTTGGTGGCAGGTGTGTGCCCGCCCCAGAGCCCCAACAACAGCCCCTGTCACGGAGCCACTGCAGCTACAGGGATGGGCGGCAAGGACCTCCTGCAGGAGGTGAGGTGGTGGCTGGGCCAGGCGCCAGTGACACAAGGGCCGCTCTCTGCTTCTTGCCACGAAGGTCGGTGTTCCCCGTGGCTGTGTTCATGCACTGCCTTAGCGGACCATACTGAGCACCTCAGGGATGGCCTGCCTCATCCGGGGAGCAGTGGCTAACAGCCAAGGGCAGGGTTTATGGTGCAAAGTCAGGCGCTGGCTGGGCTGGGCAAGGATGTGAGGAAAGGACACAGAGGCCTGGGCACTCTTCCGTAAAAGGGCCGGGCAAGGAGGCTGGTCCCAGAGGTCACATCTCAGCAGATCTTAAGGAAGCAGCAGGCGGTGAGCTACAAGAATTTCTGGAGGAAAGGCGATCCAGGAGGAGGGAACAGCAGTTGCAAAGGCCATGAGGCAGGTGCTTGAAAAGTGGAGGAAGCCAAAGGGGCAGGGGCTTCCTGGGAGGTGGGGAGGAGTGACAGGGGGTGAGGGGGAACCACCATGCGCTTTGGGTTTCATTCCCCATGTGGATGGGGGCTTTGCTCACTTGCCAAGGCTCAGGCTGAAGAAAACGCTAGAAAGCTTCACAGACGCTCCGGGAGAGAAGCCGAGAGAACCAGGCTGCTCAGGAGGCCACGTGCAGTGGCCACTGGCTGCACCCCGCCCCACAGGGACCCAAGGGCTTCGACTGGGGACCCTGACCCCACAACTCCAAGCCTGCGGTCTTGGGAAGGACCTGAGCTCCCAGAGCCTGCATGGGTCACCTGTCTGTGACACACACCTCCGCGGGGTCACATCTGTGCAGTGCAGGCAGGGTGCCCCACCCCCACCCCCAAATTATCTCCACACCTGAGCCCCTGGGGTCTTTTCAACACTCACAGCTGACCACCCTCCTGCCTCCAGGCTGCCCCGAGAGAGGCCGTCAGGTCCCTGAAGGCTCAGGCTCTGTCCTGCCACAGGAGCTCTGCCTGGTCACCCCGATGGTTTCCCATGTCCCCCTTCGTGATGACCCACCCCCTCTAGTCCCCACACACTTCCCACCTCCCCACCCCTCCCCCCACATACCAAACATTGTCAGCTGCACACGCACTTATGAGTTCATCCCCTGAAAGCCTGTCTCTCTCGCAGCCTCAAAGCATAACGGCCAGGAGACCTTGGCCGGCTGGTTTAACAATGCCCTTCCAGAACCTGGTCTGGCCTCACGGCAGCACCAAGTGTCCCAGGACACTGTGGCGTCCACAGAGCCTGTGTGAGGAGCCGGTGACCAGTTCCCCTTATAAAGCGGTATGAACTGCACACAGTTCATGCTCAAGTAAAAACGGGTCATCGTCCTTGCAAGTTTCAGGTGTTGCAAACGTGCTGCCTTCACAACGGGTCGGAGGGAGGGAGGGAGGGGGGACAAAAGGAAGGCAGAGGCAGGCAGGTAAGCAGGAACATGAGATGCTTGGTGTACTGTATTGTCACAACCACCTATGTGTAAATCCCAGGCATCGCGGGATTTGATGTGCCTTGACTTCTTATGACCAAAGCACTCCCAGGAGGGGCCAAAGAAACTCAGTACCATCATTGACAGGAGCAAAGCGCACAAGCCCTGGAAGAAATGACGTTTGGCGAGATGGATGTGTGCCACGCATGTGACAGCACCCGAAGCAGAGAAGACCATGGTCACATCAGTCTGGAGTCCGTGAAAATTCCCAACAAAGGAGATGGAAAATCAAGATGGACCCAGAAGGAACACAGGCCACCCAGTGTCCTTCAACAGACCCACCTCAATGTACTGAGTCCTCGAAATGATCCAAAGGAATGGAAGGTGGATGAGTGAGTTCAGAGCTTTAGCAGGTCCCCAGTGGCCATAACACCCGAGGCAAACTTGTCTCAGCCCACATTCAACCTCCCCTTCTGCCTTCCAACGTAGTGGTGAAGCCACACCCTCAGGCATGCACCCTAAGCCCACTGGAGATTCCCACCGGGAGTCCACTTGGGGGAAGCTTCTCCCCGTGTAGCGGGGCCCAGCAGAGCGAGTCTGAATCCCTCAATATTAAGCCGCGCACGGCATCTGCACCTGCACAGGAAGACACCTCTGCACACACCCCCGTCCCCTCTGTGGCTGCAGTGCATGGAGTCAGCGGCACCTTCACCCGAGGGCCGTGGAGAAGCCCTTGTGACAAGCTCAGGGTGGGCAGCGGTGGGCCTCGCCAGCAGAGACTCTGCAGCCAGAGGCAGACCGTGGCAGGCTGTCCTGGGCCCTGTCTTTTCCTTCCTCCGACATAACCGTGGAATCCAAGCCAACCCCGTGACCCCGCCCTTCCTCTCCTCTCTAGACCTTTAGACTCAGTCACAACGTTTCATTCATAAAACGTGTGGTCCTCGGCAGGAACCGTTTCCCTCTTCGTCAAGCCTGAATCAGTGTCTCTGTGCCTCTTTCTTGTGATCTCAATGGCAATCATCTACCGCCAACAGTCACTAACCTGCTTCCTTCCCTTGCAAACTGTAACACTCCATTCTCTGCATAGTCCAAACCACACTCGGTCTTCCTTTTAATGAATCAGCAGATGTTTTCTGAGTGTCCATTATGTACGAGGTCTCGCAAACACACGCCTAAAGGACACCGTGCATCCCCCACCCCGCATAATGAAACGTTGAGGCAGACTTGTCTCTCTTTCCTGGAGAATGAATGCAAATAGGCTAATTAGATCCGAAGAGATTCCAGGTTCATTTCCAATTAAAAAAATCCTCTGTATTGAAGATAACACTACCTGAAGTGAATACTTATTTTCCTTAAAAGAGTGACTAATGTATTGTTTATATAAGAGGCATTCATATTGATGTGAGGAGGAACAAGGAAGTTACAGGTAAAACTCGGGACCACCAGGTCATTATCCCAAGAAGAAATACAAGGGTTGGTCATTGGGAAACACTCAGATATTTATTCTTTCCAAAGGCAGATCTGACTTGACATTCGTGAGGCTTAACCTCCAGAGCGTTCGTGCACACAAACTCTCCCAAGCCTCTATCCTGAATTCCTATTAGTGATTTTGTCTTCTCTTCCTTAAAAAGGAAACAAAATTCGCATAAACGTCATGGTCGGAAACACCTGGTCCTCCACTTCTTACCACCTTCCTTCAGTATCTAAAAGTAAATATTGCCCAGTACCGCTGAAAACCCATGTTTCTGCAAAGCTGCTTGGAAAGAACTGATCCCATCCCCCTCTCCTGGAACACACGTAGGAGCCAGATACTGAGGTCTTAAGCTTTCAATTTTCTCAGAATTCTAACTGAAATCACACTTACATGAATTCAGCAAATTTAATTACGAAAACTATGACCATGACTGCAGGGCATCTTAGAAATAGGCATCGCTTTTTAGGAGATCCAGTGCCGTTTCATGTCGTTTGTTTTCATTTATAGTGTTGGTAATACCTAGTAAGCGGAAGAGAACCGATTCCTCATTATAGAAACCAGTGAAAGTAGCCTTGGGTGTCGCACCAGAGAGACTGGGTGTGCCTATCTGAAAACTTTCCACCAAGAGTATTTTAATCTATTCATGAACGTGATACACTAAAATGTTAACAAAATAATAAGCTAGAATGTAAGACCTATGGAGGCAGACCTCTTAATTTTCTTTGTTTACATCTGTCCAGCATTAACAGATGCCCAATCTTATCGACCATGATGAATGGGACATTTATGAAAACGAATAATATATCAGACCATAAAGCAAATCTCAGCAAATTTCAAAAGAACTGTTGTTAAATAAGCCACCCGTCTGACCACAACTTATTTAAATTATAAATGAATAACAAAAAGAAAATTGTTAAATCTTACAAATTGTAAAATTAATTAAACAGATATATCCTAAAAATCCACGAGACATAAAATTGCAATAAAAATGTAAAATCTATAAAACTGAATGACA